GAGTTCCCCAGAGCGTGGACTTGCCCGTCATGTCCCCAGAAAATTTGTATCTCATGCCCGGAGAGTACGCAGTAGTGCGTATTCAATATAGACATACAAATCCAGAACGAGAAGTCGTCTGGGCTGGACGAGGTGATAGGTGGGTGGCCAAGATTGTGTACCAGGCCAGATCCTGGCCAGTAGCGATCAAGGTTGTGAATGTGTCGAAACATAGTGTCTGGATCGATATGACACCGCTAGCCAGGATCGTGCAGTATGGGTCGTTTCCGCAGGCCGGGCGCTTCGTCCGCCCTGGAACGCGAGCTTATCGTGAATGGCAGCCCTGATCCTAGAGCACGCCCAGTCGGAACAAGACAGACTCAGGGCCGAGAGAAGAGAACAGGCACTGCGAGACCAAGAACTCCCGTGTGTGCCAAAGATGGAATACCAATGGTCAACCAAGATCATACTGAGGCCTCAACCAGGGTCTGCTGAAGTCAGAATGGCTCAGTTACAAGACCCCCCCGTGTTTCAAGGTGTTGGACCGTGGAGAGTTGGTGGATATGGGTACACAGACGAAAGAAGATTCCCTGGTGACAACCAGGATGGATGTCGCCACACAAGTCAGCGAAAGTCAACTAGACAGTCCAGGATGTGATCCTGGTGATGGCGACACCCTGGAAGAAGACCGAGGTGACATCTCTGTGGACACACCTCCAGAATGGACTACTGAATTCGAGGAACCCCAGGGCAGCGTGACGCTCGCGGAGATACACCCTGAACAAGATACTTCAGGTTTCCCACCAGGGCCAGCGTCTTGTACGCCACTCGAGAAATTGGAGATGGAATACGAACGCTGCATGAGGGTTAGCGCGGAAGACCTGGACTTGGAGCCAGGCGTGTACATACATGAAGGGAGCAAGATGCTAGCACAATTGCGGGACCAGTTGGTCATGCTGCCAGGATTGAGCGAAATGCACCCAGGATCAGGCCGATGCGGGAGTTTCAGGTGAGACCTCTCCAGAGGATGAATCCAGGATGCGTGCCATCCTGAATCGCCATAGAAAGATTTTCTTGGGCGATGGAAATGCCGCACCTGCTCCCGCCAGAGTAGTATGTGACCTCGATGTAGGAGATGCTAAACCTATCGCGTTGCGCCCAAGGTCGATTGGACCGCACGTGGCAGTCAAGGTATACGAACTACTCAATAAATTGCTCGACAACAACCTGATTGAGCATTCAGAATCGCAGTGGGCATCTCCGATCGTGATCGTGCTCAAGAAAAATGGGGTGGACATCAGGATGTGTATTGACTATCGACTTGTGAATAACTTCATCCAGCTGTCTAGCTATCCGTTACCTCTCATCGACGACCTGCTAGTTGGTTTTGAGAAGGCACTCTGGTTCATGAGCCTGGATATGGCCAGCGGTTTCTGGGCAATCAAGATGACCGAAAGAGCCAAGTTGATTTCGGCTTTTGTATGTCCGTTTGGACATTTTCAGTGGATTCGAATGCCGTTTGGTCTGAAAAACGCACCTTTGATTTACCAGCAAGTAATCAACAATTGCCTGTGGGGATTCGTACGTTTGCCACTAGAAGAGGAGGCGGAAGTAGACCAAGAAGTCTTGGAATACCTGAATCTTGACCCCCACGATGATGGACCTCCAGGATGTGGCATTCCAGGGTCCACTGGTTGCGAAGACGGCCATATTTCTTGGTCGTTACCGACCCTGGCGGACCAGATGATAGTATTCATAAGGAACATCCCTGCTCCAACTCAGATTTCACCTGTCTTAGGGCGCAACTCTTATATCGATGATATCGCACATGGCGCACCACCTTGGGATGCATTGTGCGCTGACTTGGATGCTTTGCTATATAGGCTGCGGTATTGGAATATCTCAGTGAGTTTGCCGAAGAGCGAGTTCGGGAAACTGTCCATCCCGTATTTGTCGCATGAAATTAGCACTGAAGGGATCAGGGCAACGCCGAAGATCGCCAAGGGTGTCCAGGATTTACCGTTCCCAACTACAATGAAAGGAGTGCAATCTTTCTTGGGCAGCTTGAATTATTATCACAAATTCAATGAAGATTGCCCCGTTATTGGCAGCCTCCCTGTATGAACTCTTGGATGACCAAGTACGTTCAGCACGAGATCTATCCAGGGCAAAACAGGCGTTTGAGATCCTGAAACGCAAGATCGTGTCGACCCCAGTATTGAGGCACCCTGACAGGACCAAACCATTCGTTATTATAACCCATGCAAATCAATGGGCTGCCTGTGCGGTCCTGGGTCAAGAACATGACGGTTTGATCCAGCCAGTGCGTTTTACGGTGCGTGTTCTCCACGATGCGGGGTTGAGATATCACATTGCAGAGAAAGAGGTCATCGCCGGGCTGAGGGTACTGCAGGTGTTCAGAACACTCATTCAGGATTGCCCTCTCATTGTGTACACTAGACACTCGGTTCTGAAGTGGATCATGAAATCCAAGACGGCAGATGGGAGATGTGTACCATGGGGAGTTTTGCAGTGGCATCAGGATGTCAGGAAGATCCAACGAGATGTAGATGGACTAGCTGTCATCCTGGGCGGCGGTATCACACCTCGAGAGCATTTAGACGAAGTCACCGAGGAACTCATTCCTGCCAAGGGGCGTGCGAAACCGCCACCGATAATCAGCGTGGAGATGCTGGAAGATACCTTCCAGTGCATCGTTTTAAGTTTCGATGGCGCCGCCAAAACGTCTACCCGGCAAGGTAGCTGTGGGTGTATTTTGTGGGAACTCCCTGGATGGAAAATCCTGGATGCACAGGGTTTCATCCTGGAAGATGTCACTGTGAATGCCGCCGAATACTGCGGACTCCTGAATGGTTTAACCATGGCGCAGACTAGGGGCGTCAGAGACCTGATCGCTGTGGATGATTCACGAATCGTCACCCAACATGTGCAAGGTCTGATTAACTGTAATCAGCCTAACTAGCAAAAGCGATTGGCCAGTTGTGAAGCACTGAAAGCAAAGTTCGATTCAGTAAGACTGGTACACGTCAAGCAGGACTTCAACCAGGCAGCGGATTACTTGACTTCCAAGACACTGTTGTTTGGAAGGTCCTGGAGCGTCCAGGAAGATGGGGAGTGCCAACATCTGGAGCGAGTATCCAAGATTCAAGAGAAGCTGATGAAGTCAGCCGAGGTTCACCTGGTGATTGGTCATTTAGGATTCGTTGTCACCCAGGTCGTCCGGCCAATCCTGGATGCCCCTCTGCCCTGGATGTCATGGCAGCTCCACCGCCACGCGCAGCCAAAATCTTGGTTGCTGTGACATCCGCTAATGTCCGAGAGCAACAGGTGTCATCCGAACCTCTCGACCCTCTGGATTACCAACGAGAAATGTGGCGACGAATTAAGGTGCACCAGGAACAAGATGAATATCTATGCGATTTGAGAGATTTCCTGAATGGAGAAGTCGACCGTTTCACGTTACACCTGTTGCGGAAGATCGCCAAGGTCGCAGACCTGTTCGCCCTGGATGCCCGTGGCGTGCTGTACCGGTTAGCCCAGTCCACCCGAGGTAGATCCCGAGATGCTCAGGATGAATTACGATTGGTGGTACTGGTAACCCTGAGAGAGGACATCCTACATTATGCCCATGAGGATTTTCAGGGTGGACACCAGGGCATCAAACGGACTCACGAGAAATTGCGCTATGAGTTCTATTGGCCCGGGATGTATGCAGACGTGGAACGGCACGTAAAAGAGTGTGTGGATTGTGCAAGTGGCAAAGGACATCCGTCTAACCCTGGCCCATCTCCTGGAAACATCGAACCAAGACGACCGTTTGAAGTGGTCTCGATGGATTTCGTGACACACATGCCGAAATCGGAGCGGGGAAACACTTTCTTGCTCTTATTCCAAGATATGTTCCAGGATTCGTGATGTGTAAACCGATGCCCTCCACGACAGCCCAGAACGTAGCCGAGGCATATGAGGAACGGGTGTTCAGGATGTTTGGCGCTTCAGAAATGATCCGCCACGATCAAGACCCAAGATTCATGAGTGAAGTTTTCACTCGATTCAGGGAACTCCTGGGCAGCCGTCGGAGATCCACCTTGAGTTTTCGACCTCAGGCGAATGGACAACAAGAACGTTCTGTTCAGACTGTGAGCGTGCGAGCGTATGTTGCCGAGGCAGACCAGTCAGATTGGGACGACCTTGCCGAGCGATTGATGTTCGCCCTGAAAACATCTTTCGACGCGACCCGCCTGGATACACCATTCTACTTAGTCCATGGTTGGGATGCTCAAGGCACCGTATCTTCCATGCTGGGGCCTAAGCCGTCTAGCCTTCCAGAACGGACCGCGTACGAATGGAGGAGAAAGTTCCAGCGTGACTATAGTTATGCACGAGCTTGTGCTAAGGACTTACAGAAGAAGGCGAAGCGCCTGACATCGGAAGCTCAGACCCAGAAGTGGAGAGAGCTTTCAGAGCGTTTGAATTCTGGATTCAAAAGGAGCGACGCCGTGTGGTTGTATATACCCAAAGTGCAACCAGGGCTGAGTCGCAAGTTGGCACACCTGTGGCATGGTCCTTTCAGAATTGACAAGGTATGATTTCAGGGTGAAGTTGAAGATCGATGGGACTGGGTATCGTGTGAACCCCTGGGTGCACATAAGTCGTCTGAAGCCCCGGGCATTATTCCCGAAAAGACCTACCGGTGACATCACCCTGGATGAAAATGATGACCTGGATGCGGAATTGTTGCCCGAAGATAGTTGGGAAGCAAACAACCAGGATGATGAGTACGAAGTGGAACGAATCCTGGGTCTCCGGTGGATTAAACGCACCCGCACATCCAGAAGGACGAGAGAGTATCTTGTCAAGTGGAAGGGGTACGTCGATCCTGAATGGATATCACTGTCGCAACTCAACTGTGGAGCCCTGTTATATGAATTCAACCAAGGCGCCAGAGCCAGAGCACGCTTCAGGGCGATGCAGGCTGGTGACGACCATCCCCAACTCTAGCTGGGTTCATCCATCGATTCTGGATGACCCACTGATGATGGCCCACTGCTCCTGACTTAGACTGACGAATTTTGTGAACTGTTTCGATTTTGTGGGTAGTTTTCGACTGTGGAGTGTTTTCGTGAATTTTCGTTCCTGGATGGCTATTTGTGACTGAACCTTGGATGACGAACCGAGGTGCACATGATTCTGGGTAAATTCTGGATTAAAAGGCAAGTGAAGTGATCAAGATGAAGTGGAAATGCCATATATTAGAATGTATTGGTTAACCCTACGACAACTCAAGTCACTGTGACGAAAATATGCACAGGAGCGCCTCAATCATACGTGCGCGAAGCTGGGTTATCCCGACGAGCTTGCTCAGGAAGGAGACTCACCGACACCAATTTAGGGACATGCTCCACCAGCTCTTCATCACTTGTCGCAGTGCCCCACTGTACTCGCGCTGGCTCACGTGTCGAGCTGCTCCGCCAGCGAATATGGGTTACCCTGGCTGTTGAGTGATCTTGGGTTCATGAGAATCCAATAGCAAGGCTTCGAAGGCAACGACCAGTAGGTTGCTTCCCAGAAAATCGTGGATGGCACGCCTTCGGCAACGCATTCTCGTTGCTTGGTCTCCACAGTCCGAGCCAGAGCATCCCACTGTCGTTTACGTTCACGCTGCATGTCTGCACCGCCCTGGGTGGACGTGTCAATGGCGAACCAGTGGCCACCATGCCAGAATCCTGACGCGTTCTCCTCCATGAAGCGGATGTACTTATCCAAAGCCATCCTGCCGCGAGGTGCCAAAGCACTGTACGAGAGCAAGACCAAGCGCTTCACGCGATTCTCGAACATGATCGTCCAAGGCGCCGTAGCCAATAAAGCTTGCACGTCAGCCAGGATGAACCGTTGCTTCAGAGACTGGATGCCACCCGCCTTGTTGGGCGTGTAATCCGGGAAACCCGCAGACTGATGCACCGCGTGAGTTGATGACGGGGCGAAGGTCATCAATATCCCGTAGTGACGCCAGGACGAGATTCCTGGACCTGGAACCTCCACGACCTCGGTGTCTGCCACCGTGAGGCTCCCTGAGTCAACTTGTGCCAGGGGCGACTGACGACGCAAACTACCAGAACGTGCACGCTTTGACGATGCGCCAGACGTAGCGGTGGACTGGGTCGCTGGTGCATCAGAGTGCGACGAAACGGAGGTGCGACGACGTTTCGGACCGAGAGGACACTGTCTCCGCCCTGGACATCATCATCATCCTGGTTGTCGACATCGTCATCCGGGTTGTAATTGGCGTCGTGCTGCGTATCGTCGTGCTCGCTACTAACGTCGTCCATAACCTTCTGGGCCACACGCACGTCGGCATCCACTAGATCAGGCCAGTCCGGGGCGAACTCCCTCAGAATGCAAAAGATCCAAGCGTAATTCTGCGCGAAGATAGTATTTTTCTGGAACATACTTGGTCCAGAATGACTCATCCAGCCGGTTCCAGAACATCATGTTTGCCAGCATGTCAGCAAGTGCCGATGGAGGAAATAAATTGTGGGTCATGACGTCTCCGCTCAGCATGGCGATGGAGCCCTGGTAGCCAATGCCTGCACGCATCAGCATGATCACGTCCGGACGAAGAGTATCCCACGCCACAGGCTCATTCTTCATGATCTCCCGGGCGTCTGATTCCTGGAACATCAACTGGTTCGAAGGAGAGCGAGCCTGATCAGCCGAAGGAGCCCATCCAGAAGGGCGCAGCTGTGGCTGGTCAGGAACTTTGCGCGAAGAACCGCGAAACCGCTTTTTCTCGGTGGGCGTAGTCTTCCGTGACGAGGGCTCACTGGCACCGGAATCCTGGTGGGTCAGGTCGACCTCGTTGTCCTTGCCGCCCTGAGCAGTCTTGCCCTGGGTGCTGTCGCCCTGGTCACCACTTTGGTCCTGTTCTTCTTCGTCTGAGTCATCCTCAGCGAGCGTGGCGAATGGTGAGCCCTGGGCAAACGGGTCATCCACAGCGGTGATCGCGATCAACGTGCTCCAGGATTTCTCAGGGGCGATACCATCGCGAAAACGTTCCAAGAGATTCTTGAGCCGTCTCCAGTTGTCATTGACCCAGGTCTGATCGCGATTCAGGAAGTTCGTCAACTTGGGGACGTTGAGACGACGTGAACTAGAACGAGTGCGACCCAGGAGTCTCAAGTTCTCTACTTGGGAGCGCAGCTCACCAACTTCTTCGCGATGGGCCCATGTTTCCAACTCGTGCTCAGCTAAGACCCCGCACAGATCACGCTGACGACGATGATGGGCTGCATCCAACTGTTCCTGTAGACGACGAGCTTCGCTCCAGTAGAACTCATGCAAGGTGGTGTAATCAGCCCTCACCCTGGTTGTTTCGCCTTGGATGTCCAACATGTTCTGGACGGCAGTGTCGTTGCTCGGGTCCACTTGGGTGCGTAGTTGACGAAACTTGGCCAACAGACGCTTCAGGAAGGTCGTCGACGCGAACGCTTTCTGGGCGAGGCCATCTGGGCTTTAGTGCGACAAGATCGATGCAAACTCGCGACGTATCAAGGTCGAGTTGAGCATGCCCTCCAATTCGGCTAGGTCGAGAGGACGATCCGCGCGAGGACGCAATGTCAGCGCATCGACATCGCCGCCCTGGTCGATGACTGTTGCCAGATCCTGGAGGTCCACCGCCGTGAGGCCGTCGACGCACTGAACGATTTCCAGGCCGCCGTACCCATCTCGTGTATACTTGGCGTCAGCCAGGTGGTGTGCCCACGCACGAATGCCCACGAAGAACGTATGATCGGAGGGTTGGTGGACTGCCGACTGTGGAAAACT